CCCTCGGTGGAGGAACATCTAAATATTAGCGATTTTACAGTTTCCTCAATATTCGTTTCAATTTGTCCATTGGAATAATATATTAGAATGGAGTTTATTCATTTTTTCAGATTTAACTTGACTCAGTTCAGTAAACCCATTTTAGGAAACTGATTAAGGGGAGACTACTGTGAGTTTAAAGTCGCGGGCTATTGGAGTGAGATTTCTCATGCATTGAAGATTGATTGTATGTGTCTAAAAACGACTAATTAGTGTAAAAAAATTAATTGTGTGTTGTTCCCTCGCCCCGCAGACGCTTAGAATGTTGAAAATATTCCACGACCTACAATTTTTGAGCTGCAAATTTTTTTGTTTTCAAAATTTGTGAAAAAATGTGTACAATAACAATTATGAGTTAGTTTTTTGAAATTTGACTCCTACACAGCTAGTTCTGTTTTTCTGTTTTTGTTTAATGTTAAAATTTGGTCCATTTATGTAAAATAGGTAGAAAAATTATCCTTAAAATATATTTTCCATTCGTTCTGCAACATTTTTCGGGCTATTTTACATTAATGGTGCAATTTTTTTATTAAAAGAAACTCAAAATTAGCTGCATAGGCGTTAAATTTAAAAAAAAACTAATTCGTAATTGTTATTGCAGACATTTTTTCAATAATTTTGAAAAAGAACACCTCTATAGCTAAAAAATTGGAGGCCCTGGACTATTTTCAACATTTTAAGCGTCTGCGGGGCAAATGAAAAATAAACAATCAATTTTTTGCGCTAATTTTTCGCTTTTAGACATATATAATCGATCTTCAATGTATCAGAAATCTCATTCCAATAGCCCGCGACTTTTAAAACTGATAGTAGTCTTACCTTAAAAAATCATAAAAATCGAATAAAAATTTGGTCCAGTTCCGTGAGAAATGAACTCAAATAGGTTAACAATAAATTTCTATAAATTTCTTCATCGAAAACTTCAATTAAATCGCATCATTTCCGCTAACAATTAAAAATCTATCTTCCTTCAATGAAAGATGAGGGAAAGTGTCTACACACAACACCTTCCCCCTTCGCCCTACACGCCATTTCCATATAAATTCCGCTATCTCGATATTTCCGCGTTATGATGAGAAAATTGCAGGAATGTACTTGAGCACGAACGTCCCTCTCTCCCTGCAATACAAGTTCAACTCTCGGAAAAGGGAAGCAGAAAATATTCAAGCAGAGACTTCACGTTACTCCCCATAAGGCGCAGGTGATACAGCTGCTCGAAAGCGTGTCCGAGTCCCTGGGTTAAAACCAAAGGAGGGGCGGGCCGCCCTCGTCCCCGCGACTCGTCGGAATTCCTCAGACCTCTTCGGCCTTGGTAGGTCGTTTATACTGCCAATTGTTACGTGCTGTAATTTAAAATGAAACGAAACATAATGCACGACTCTTTTCTTTTAAGACTCGTTACATCAGACATGTGGAGTTGATATTTGTCTTTTTAATCTGCACGAGTTTTTCTAGGAACGTTTGAGGTGTGATTGGAATTGTGACCCAGTTTAACCGGACACTCCCCAAAGATGGAGACAGGTCGACGCCGTAGACTCTTCGAGCAACTTCCTCGCCCCTTGAAGATACGATGGCCTCTATCGATCGTTAGTGCTCCTCATATGGAGCTACAAAGCCACGAATTATGCATGAAATCACTTTCCATTCGGTTGGCGAAAAGCGAGATTTTAAAAATTTAATCAAACGATTTCGCAAATATTTTTATTTCGATAGCTTCAAATCGCTGTAAAACAGTCTTCTTTGCTCCATTAAGGATGTTTATCCAAAATTCCAAGTACTTTAAAAAAATTGATTTTTTTCAACTCAGAGATCAAAATATTCCCTTCACTTTGATACAAATTTCCATCCGTCAACCCATGTTCTTTATTTGAAAATGAAATAGACAAAATACACCAAATGCATGCGCTAACATGGACTTCTACACTGATAGAATGATTCATTTATTCCAAACGAGATTCGTTAACTATTAACGAATGGTAGAGTTGAATATGACCAAATGAATATTCGTTAATAGTTAACGAATGGTTCACTTGAATGGCGTAAGTCGAGTCAAACAAGGTTTCTCAAATATACATTCGTTAACTATTAACGAATGAACATTTGGTGAGACCGAATAGACCCTAACCTCCAACCAAAATCCATTCGTTAACAATAACTAATCCGTTCTATCAGTGTATGGGATAGAATCATTCAAATATTTCCTCTTTTTGCGCGGGTACCCCAAATTTTTTTCTGACCATTCGAATCAGTATAGTTTTGCCAATACCTTCTATTTTTATTTCTATTTTTCTAATCGTATAGTAGGCGAATTATAAATTTCAACACAAATCCCATAAGAGCCCGTGTATAAGGAAGAGTTTATTTCTGGCGAGACTATTGCGATTGATTTTTTTAACATCAAAGAAATTAATTTCATATGTTCTGCTATCAGCCAAAAAAATTATAGAATTTTCCTTGAACATGAAAAAATAAGATTTGCTGAAAATGGTTAAACATCCTTAACTTCTGAAGAAATGCGAAAACACGATCTGCTTCAAAAGATTTGAGTTCGGAAACGTCGAGAGCTAGTTTTGAATCGGAAATTTTACTAACTAATGAATGAATAGTTATCAATGAAGGTCAACATTTTTAATTTATTCAGCTAATTAAGGAAGAATAATCAACGTGGGCGACGATATCACTCAGCTTGTTTTCGCAAAATCCAATGAATTACGACGCATCGGAGATTACTCACGCTTCAAAAATAAATAAATGTTGGATTTCTCATTCGTTGGTAGCATACACATATGTAGCGGACGATGCGGCAAATGCCGTCAGACACCATGTTTTGGATTTTTCAGGGACAGCTGTTCATCGCTTCCCCTACCCGCCGGCGCTTATTTATCCTCCCTTGATGGAACAAAAATGAAGGTGAAAATTCCTTCCGGATTAAGATTGAAATTCGGTAGAATTAGATCTTCATATTTCCGTTGAAAAAGAAAAACAACTTCCGGCGCTTGAGAGTCCCACAGAAAATTAAATAATATGAGTGACGAGACGTAGTTTACGGATAGGTTTCGTTATTCATCGCGACTTCCATCATACCGTGAAAAGGATAATATAAGGGGAGAAATGGAAGGGAAGAGAAAGAAAGTTGAGACCATTATTCCATCCGTCTCGTTTTCAACTCAACCGCACATCCACTTTTAACGCTGTAAACAAAAGCCTCGAAGGCATGGAATTTCTTATTTTTTTCTGGATCAATTTTTGCAAATTTTATATTGAATAGGTCGTGAATTTTGCCCAGGAAATTCGTGTTCTGTTTCTCGAGTATTTTTCTCTTCGTGCAGTCTCCTTTTCAGTTTTTTTCTTCAATGATTTCTTTCATACTGGGTTCATTATGAAGATAGAATTTTTTCAGGTCACAAAATTTCATGCTGATTGTCTTTTCACCACTTCAGAAACTAGTGGATACAGAGGAAAATGTGGAATGAGTTTTTTTTTGTAATGTATGGAATAATAATGTACAAAAGTCGTCTCTTCGTGAATTTCTGTCTTGAAGACACTCGAAAATTAATCTGAAAATTTATTCTGAACTACTTGATTATCTCCTTCTCACTTTTTCATTACTTCTCTCTAATTATTTTCTCGTTTGGAGCTTTTCATTACTGGAGAATTTTTTAGGTCACGGAGTAAATTACTATTCGTGACATCCTCAGTTTGTAATTCTGTAGGAATATGGTAAAGAGAAGAAATTCTCAAAATAACACCTCCTCAGAATATGTTATTGCGAATATTTCTGAAACTAATGCGTTTAGCCATGTCAAGGGATAGTTTTTATACTCTAGAAAATCGCTCCATCAATCTCGATGAATTCGAACATTGCGAATTAACCCGAGTTTGGTCCCCTAGTTTTTATTGGAAGCGCTCTACTAGTATTTGTTCGAATCGCTCGATCTACTAGGCTCAATAATTGGGGAATCATCGCAAAAAATTTTGAAATTTTTTTACACTTTTCAACAAAACAATTGTTTTTTTTTAACAATTGTTTCTTTGTCGTTCAACAGATATTGAAAAATGGAAATCAGCTCTGCGGCGACTCCCTCGCATTGTGACGAATTTAGAGTTAATGTGTAATTGTTTCTCGTCAATCTTTTTCTAAATTATTACTTCAGTTGGAATCATTGATTACTGAGGAGCTTTGTCAGGTGAAGAAGCTGGTGAATCACGGTTCGTGTGACATTTTGATTCACAATTGTATAGCAAAGTGGTATCAGGAGTTGGGTCCAAGTATTTCGTACGTACAATTCTACAATTACCTCTGATCTTCGTGGCTTTAGAGAAATTTGCAAGATATTTTTTTGTAGGTCATGAATTAATCTTTGAAAAAAAAAGCCCCTCGGCGAATTTTGATAAACCTCTTCCTTGAATACATTTCCACAAATAACTGCTTATCTCTCTCTGCTTTCCCCTTCAATATGATTGTTAATTATTCTTTCATTTACGTTTTTTTCACGATTGAGAGAACTTTCAGGTCACGAAGAGGTGGGTTACCGCATTTAACACCTCACGTAATAATTATGTGGCAAAATTGTAAAAGGGAATAATTCCAAGAATATACTGCACATTATTTTACAAACATCTCTGAAATGAGTTAAGCGGAAAAATTCGAGAGGTCTCGTTTGTTGTGTGCAAATCTCCCTACAAAACGGTTTCTCGATATTTTCTTCCAATTCCTTTTGTTCCGAAGATATCCGCGAAATAATCAGCAAATTCGTTTGCTCTGGGCTTATCTTCTGCTTTTTTCTACCACTCCACTACTGAATTGCTCTCCAGATTCAAGTGCAGTGCTGACAATGATGCGATGAAATTCGTCGTAATCGTAATATTTCCTCAATTGTTCTCGTCAAGGCAATGCCCTCCCCACAATTTCGTCCCTGAACATTTTACCAAGCGATTTTTTCAACTACAAAAATACTCACCTCTTCAAGTGCAGTAATAGTCTGCCTGCACTGTGGCATTCGTGACACAAACGTGGACGTAGTCGGCGAATTGTAGTCCTCCCTGGTTTCCTCCACGAACTCACTAACCGCGATTAAACCCGGCATTCTTCAAATTCCACAATTATCCCCACAGAATGAAAATGTTCCACAATCACTCAATCAGCCCTTTATCACCTCTCACCAATAATAACGATTAAATATTAAATCACAGAACAGGCCACAACATAATAATAAGTAGTCACCCGGGAATGTGGTTAATCACTCTCACCATAAATAAATGAATCAACAAAACTGTCAGCACTCAGCGAATCACAAATGATAGAAAGGAGGAGGTGGTTGGAGGCTAGAACACACCTCTCGATTTTTCCGCCCCCGCGGCCTCTCACTACCACTCTCTTCCCTCTTAATTCCCAAACCCAAACAGAACTGTGTAATGGACAAAGTAAAATAAAAAATACTCATGGAAATTAATCACACCTCACCTCTTCTTTTTTTTATTTGTAAACTCGCGCACTCTCTTTGTGACATTTTGTCGTGTTCTCTTATTTACTATTTTCACGTGTGATTTCACGATATTTCTTACGTGTTCTTTCTTTTTATTCACTTTTTACTGATAAATTGTCTCACTAAGTCATCCACAATGACAATGGTAGACACATTGTTCAGCTTCAACGGATCACGATGGATTGATTGTAAATAGTTCGATCAGAGAAATCCGCACTTGTTGTTTTGATGGATTTCCTTATGTATTTCTCTTTATTATTCCTGTGAACACTGTTGCGGATTTGGTTGTCTCTTGGTCTCTCCGGAGTTTGACGATACTTGTTGTATCATGTATCGCAGATCGCACGGGAATCGACACCAATCGACACTCGCGCGACTCAGTCGGTCCTCGCCGGGGAAACTCACACTATTGAGGGAGTTTAACAGAGAGACGTTTGGTTTACGCCCGTGGATGGATGTTCGGATATGGTGGTGGCCAGTGGCGGCGAAGAAGGAGCGGGCTGGGCGAGTGGATCGCGTGTGTTAAGCGGCGAGAGTGTATTGAGTATGCATGTTATGCATGTGTGTAAATGCAGTAGTGAAGGCATGGGCGCGTTTGCAATGCGAGGAAGTTGAACTGGCGGCGGGAGCGCGGCGTTTTTAATTTTTGAAAAAATGTATACAATAGCAATTATGAATTTGTTTTTTTGAAATTCAACTTCTACACAGTTAATTTCGTTTTGTTTAATATAAAAATTTGCGCCATTCATGTAAAATGGGCTGAAAAATTATCCTTAAAATGTTCAAAATATATTCTCGATTCTCTCAGAAATATTTTTCGGGCTATTTTACATAAATGGTGCAATTTTTTATTAAAATAATAACGAAATTAGCTGTGTAAGAGCTGAATTTCAAAAAAATTATGCGTAATTGTTGTAGCACATATTTTTACAAAAAATTTGAAAAAAAAACTTTGTAGCTCAAAAATTGGAAGCCCTGGACTATTTTTGACATTTTAAGAATTAATTTTTTTGAACTAGTTATTCGTTTTAAGACATAACCGATCTTCAATAATGTATGAGAGATCTCGTTCCAATAGCCCGCGACTTTTAAAATTTATAATAGTCTCCCTTTAGAAGTCAATTTCCAGCTCGTCTAATTGAAGATGGAACTTCAACATGTTATTCACTATTAAATATTGAAATGTAGTTGCTTTTTGGAACTGTTTGTTCAGAGTTTTTTTTAGGCATAGACAGGGTTGGGCGTCTGTTGATAACCACAATTTTTACATGACATTGTAAGAAAGCCGTTTTTTATATTTATGTAATAAATGTAAAAAATGTAAAAAGCCATTCGAAGTTACCTTTTATCGTAAACCGTGAAGTTTCGCGAAGATGATTCCTCGCGAGGGTGATAAAAGTCACGAGGTTCGTACCTCGCCAGGATCATGTCTCAAGGGTCACACCTCGTAAGGGTCATACCGTGTAAGAGATGAATTTTACAAGAGTAAATCTCATTATTTATTAATCTCTATTGAATTCGTCGCGCTATCATCTTTTCTGATTGATGATGAAATAAAAAAATTATTTTATCGCCGTGTGACGTACAATATGTTACGCTTTCGGGGCCGGAAACCGGGATTTAACCGAGGGAATCGATTTCAGAATGGCTTGTTTTACCGAATTCGAGGTAATGTAAAAAATGTAGAAAACCCGTCGAGGTAATTTACATAAAATTTTCTATTAAACTTTCAATTATTTTTTGGCCCATTCTATTGAAATGTTTAATAGAAAATATTCCATAGGAAGAGTCAATAGAATTCGAGTTTTCCATACACCTTATTCTATTGATATATTTTCTATAGAATTTCTTCATCTCAAATTTTCTAAGCTTTTTTGTTTGATTTTCTTGATGAAAAAAGAAGAAAAATAGAATGAAAAACAATTTAAAAAATTTGAGGCGAAAAAATTCTATTGATTTTTTCAATGGAATATTTTCTATTGAACATTTCAATAGAATTCCCTAAAAACTAATAGAAGGTTCAATAGAAATCCAGCAGAATATTCCGGCGAATTCGCTAGGTTTTTCAATGAAATTTGTTCATAGGTGGTGTAAAAGCATATCCGTCACTAAGAACTTTCACAGCAATAAACTATTCTTTTAAAAATATTTTTCCCTGACTTGTTTAATGGAGGAAATATACTGACAAGGAGGGGAGGAGGGGGGTGGTCGCCGTCGTCATCGTCGTCGAAATTTTCGACAAATTTGCTGATGTAATAACTGAACGGCTGCTAATTCCGTCGCTAACGACAATTTTAGATTGAATTAATTCCTTCTTACCACTTCCATACTGCATGAAGAATTCGGGGAATTAAGTACTAAATACTTCTGTCAAGAACAAATTTAGAGTGGTAGATGTGAATGCCTAACAAAAATTCAAAGCGGAATCAGTCGATAGAACAATTGTGTACAATTGAAATTTCTAGCCTTTGATATTATCGTTATTCCATGGAAGTAAATATCCTCATATTTTCTTTAATAAACCTAAGGAAGTGGTCATGAGCGGGAAAATTTTCTGATTCTATTATCAAACACTGGATAATACAATTTCACACAACGATAGACAGAAGATAAAACAGTCAGTCTCAAAAGGTAGTTCTTTAATTTTCCATAAATCATAAAAAACATGATTAATAATGAACAAAAGTCACGTGATTGATCCACAAGTATTGAATGATAATGCATAATTGAAATTACCACTAGACACTATCTCTCCACCCGTGTTAATAAATTTATTTCTATCTTATAACGTCTTTCTTGCATCACTTACTGTATCAGTAAACTCGCCGCGTTTCTCCGAAACCAAACAAAAATTTTGACAACTAACAATGGCATTGTCACTTGTTTTACCGACTGAACAAAAAATCGAGAAACTCTTCAAAAATTTGTTTGGTTGCTGAGAAACGCGGCGAGCTTACTGACGCAGTAAGTGGTGCAAGCAAAATGCTATTAAAATGGATGAAAAATACATTTTTTTGTATTTTCTTAAGCAACAAAAATTATATATTCTCTCCCATTCCATCCGTCTCTGTCACAAGAGCTCGTTCCAGGATAACGCGACCCTCTTTGTAGCGTTGATTTTCATCTGTAGCGTATTCGTAGACCCAACCGAGTTTGGCGTCGCAGTTTTTGCAGCTTACGTCACGCACCATGTGTCTACCAGTTAACATTACGCGATCTTGAATTTCACTGTAAAAAGAAAATAAATTAATTTCAATGCTTCTTGGTTGTTTCAGAGAACTTAAAAATTTGTGATTTGAAGATGAATTTCCTTTGCCGGAAATTTGCTAAGTAACAACAAACATCTCGTGTTGTTTTCTTATCACTCGATTAAGGGGAAACTAATGAGTTTTAAAAGTCGCGGGCTATTGGAATAGCTGAATTTCAAACACATGGATATTCAGCGTCATTCAGATTACATTTTGCACAACGTTATTATTTTTTAACATTCATTGTTTATAAGTAAATAATTCAAATTGTGTAAACTTTCCAAAACTTAGTTTTTTTAGGCATACAATCGATTTCTGGTAAAATTTTGAATATGAATTAATTTGTTACGATTCCGAACAAATGATTTTTATGGTTAAAAATTGATTGTTTAGAAATTATTTATAGAAAATGCTCATAATTTTCAAAAATTGCACTTTTTAAATTACTACATCAATCTTTCCTCAAAAAGTAAACTTCCTTTTTTTCACATTGTCAAAATGTTTTCTAACAGTTCAATATCGAGATTCAAGTTCAGGCCTGCAATGTTTAAATAAAAAGCTGAAATGAAATGTATGATAATTCTGAAAGTATTCATACTTTTGACAGTCGTTCGCAATTGAGTAGTTAAGCTGCGAAAGGACTCAAATATTAAACCTTTAGTAATTAGGGGAGAATGGGGCAAAATGAAACAGTTGAAAAATTTACGCAATTAGAGTAAAAAAACATTTTTTATTAACTTCTGTTTACTAACTTTTTGTTATTCTTGGAAGTACTAATGAGAATAATAATTTCCCATTCAGTAGAATGGAAAATCATTATTCTCATCATGTAGGAAGTATTTTAATGAAAGGGTATAAACCCAATAAATTCAGTCCCCAAATAACTTTTCAAAAGAGTAGATATTTGTCCATATATTGTAGGATCGTCTTCTTTACAGAGTCGTCATTAAAAATGCAAACAATGTAGTATTTGAATAATTATATATCAGTTGGTTGAGTGCTCTTGCCCACGGCCCAGGGCAGACTATCGACGGTCCCGTTCATCGTGGGGACCCCAGACCCAGGTTCGTCATTGTTTAGACTAAGTCGAGATCTGCGTCGCCAACGGATCGATTGCTGAGAGGATGTTTACGCTATAGTACGCGTGCATCTCTCCGGATAAAGCTAATTCCGTCGCTGGCTACGATTATCCAGTCCCAATATTACTATGTGGATATTCTCTTTACAATCAGTACTCCGAATAATAAAAAAATTTAGTAAACAAAAGTTGATAAAATTTTTTTTTTGCTTGAATTGCGTCAAATAGTCGTTTTTCGGCTGTTTTATTTTGTCCTGCTGTTTCATTTTGCTCCATTTTCTCCTATATAATGTTTTGATGAAATGCCCAAAGATTTATTTTGGGATGAAGGAAATTTGTAACAAAAAATCTTTCCTGATACTACCCCCTGAAATGATTCAGAACTTAAGAATGAAGAATAAAAACAGTTGGATGTATTGACTGAAATCGACATTTTACCATTCCTCCACTCATACAGCGCATATCAAATTCATTTGCAACGAACTTGGCGAACAAAAGAAAACACCAAGGTATCGGATATCCTCAAAACATCTCAAATATCAATCAATAAATTCCTCTAACATACCTGTAGTTCAAATTAACCACTTTATTGAACAAAAAAGCTCGTCCAGTGGCACCAGTGAACCGCGTACTGATCAGCTGTCCTCTGTTTGTGAGATTAGTGTCGCAAGATGCACAGGAGAACAAGCGAGTGCCTCCAATGTGTTCGAGAAAAATAACTCCCATTGTATTTCTCTCCGTTTTCTCTTCACCTCGACAAATTTTTCTCTGAAAATTATGTAAATCTTTTCAGAATATGGTACGTTCAGATAACACAGACTAGACAAACGTTAATAGCCCTCAGAAAACCACCTAATTTCGATGTTATTATAAGACACTTGATTTGTTGTTGCTCTTCGTTGACATGTGTCTGAAGTGGTTTGGAGCAGCCCATCTGTTTCACACTGACTGTACTTTAAAAAAAAACATGGCGAACACAAAAACACTGGTGTGACGCCATTGGTTCGGCGTAAAGGCGGGAATTTTGAAAATCTGTTAAGATCTTTTTGCTTCCGAATGGAAGCATTGCAATCGTTCTATTTTTCGATCTTATAATTTTGCTTGGAAACGATGCAGAATGGTCTGAAACATAAAAATACGAAGTTTGACCACCCCGTGTGTATGTCGGGTGTCCATCTGGTGGTCAACTTTTAGAAAATTGAAGAATTAAAGGACTAAAATGATTCCGAAAAATCTGAAATTTTGTCAGATTGTAAGTATTAATGACAACTAACTCTGTGTTTAATTTCAGCCCAATTGATCCAGCCGTTTTCGAGATATTTCAATTTTTCTGTTTTTTGCTAAAAATGCTTGTTAGCACTCTCACTTTCGGAAAAATCGATATATTAACTTGAAATTTGGCATGAAGTTTCCTCTCTGCACTAGAATGTTTGATATTGAAAATGGGCTCAATCGGATTATTAGTTTGGGAAATATTCAAGTTTGTATCTGAATCTACTTTCTTGAATATCTCGAAAACTGTTCAACCGATTTCATTTTTTTTCAAAATACTCGTCTTGATGTCCCCCATTTCAAACAATCAAAATATATATACCGGTCCATTCAAAGTTTTCGAGATATTTCAATTTTTGTGTTTTTTGCTAAAAATGCTTGTTAGCACTCTCACTTTCGGAAAAATCTATATATTAACTTGAAATTTGGCATGAAGTTTCGTATGACGCTGAAGTTAGCAGCCGACTTGGCAGCAGAACAGGGGCGTATCATGATCCCCTGGGGCCCAGTGCACACATGATTCAAAAACCGGGGTAAAAATCAATTATCGACATCGAAAAATGTTCAGACATTACCCCTCTGCATTCATGAAGATTCTTACCCCTCTGGAACCATTACTTGTTGATGTTTGAGGGGTGCAAAAATTGATTTTCCTTGAAGTGAAAGAAAAAAAAATTGTTGGCTCCAAAACACTCAAAACCACCAACAAATTTCCATTGAAAGATATTAGGAAAGACTCCCTCAACCTCCAGAAAAATAATCAAGTCTTTCAGAGTGGTCCAAGGAAGTGCTAGGAGGTGAAAAAATGGAATTTTCGCGTATTTCAGGGGGAAAAAAAATCTCCAACTAATAATAAGCAAAACCACCAACAACTGTTAATGGAAAAATACTCAGTGCAACTCCCCCTACCCCCAGAAAAATCATCAAGTCTCTCAGACTGGTCCAAGGGGGTGCTAGAGGGTGGAAAAATAAAATTTTCGCGTTTTCCGGGCGAAAAAAAAATCTCCGACTAATAATACGCAAAACCACCAATAAATATTGATGAAAAAATACTCAGCGCAACTCCCTCAACCCTCAGCAAAATTATCAAATCTCTCAGACTGGTCCAAGGGGGTGCTAGGGGGTGGAAAAATGAAATTT